ATTGCTTGCACCCCCTCCCTTCTCGTCAACAATAATAAGCAAATCATAAATCTGTCCACCCTTTAAGAGCTTACACAATATTTAAATGGTAAATGCACCAAATTTTCAGACTGAAGTCCAATAAATAATTGTGTGCCATTTTCCTCGAGGTTCGAGATGGTGGTTCGTTAGATGTTGCGTTGAAAGATTTACTGATTTACAAAAGGAAAAAAAGAACGCCTACTACTTTTTTTCCCGAGGATATTATAATGCATATAATTTTCCTCATTTAATGGAATTTACTGACGATATTATGCTACCATATTTACGTATACTCGCAAAAACATAGTTATGTTTTCAACGATATTATATTTCGCTTCATTTTCCGCATATGATGCTACTTCCTAGTGAATTGAAAAAAAATTCCGATTATATTATGCTATGAAAGTTTTGATGTTATTTTAAATGTTCTCTTTTTTTTCCCCCTTTTTTTACATTTTTGAACTATCTATAAATACCGCACATTATTGAACCATCTATAAATATGTAACAAAAATAGTCTATAAAAAAAAACATTTTTGCAAGGTTTTTCAAAGCTCTGTCGCCAAGCACTATAAAAAAAGACACAGTTTAAGTGCCTTACCCTTGAAACAAAGCGATTATTTTACATTATATATATCATATTGCCATTAAGAATTATCTGGGCTTCAGAACGGACAAATATTTTAAAAGTTATTAAACTTTTTTAAAAATCCACCCATTCGGCGACATTTTTTCACTTAGATGAAAATTATCAAATTCCCTACCTTATTCTACTATTTTGCAAATTCTTATGAGCCCAGATAATGCAGCATTTTAGTAAGTTTTTAAATCGTAAAAAATTAGACCACTAACGCTTTTCATCTTTACAAAACTGTGGCTTTTCTCCATAATGACATTTTGCGCCATTTTCAGAATAAGCGTAGACTGCGCTGGCCACAGATATGCTAAACTTGTCCTAACAGTCATGACTAATTGTAGCAAACTCACAGCAGTTATGAAATTAGCACATTATTCGCAACAAAATAAATTTAATTTCACTGAGTTCTTATTTTTTCACACTCAAATTAAAAGACTTTAAGAAACCGAATCTATAACCCAAAAAAAGGTTCCAGATAAGAGAAACCAAGGGTGGTCTTTCTAAGAACAGAAAAGAAGCGAAAGTATCTCTTGGGGGCATCTTTCAGACCACACAAAAAGCGATCAATTTAAATATTTGACCATCTGGTGATTTGGCGAACTATGGTCGCGTGCGTGGTCTTCAGCTTTACGACCTGACAGTTATACAGGCAATTTATCAAGCGCGCCATTTTAGATGTTCGATATGGAATCGCCATNAAGTTAAATCCTGAAATAGATATAAGGTGCTCCTTGACAAGCATTCAACCGAGGTTTGAAGATCTTTCAAAATGTATTCAAGCACAAGGTTCTCATTAAAACTGTATGACTTGCATTTAAAATTTAAAAGACTTAACATATGTATTGATATTTCTTTTTTTTTAGGAATAAGTTAAAATGTCAATTATTTTCAAAAAGTTATAAATATATTTTAATTTGGTCAATAAAAATTATTAAAAACACTTGATTATTAATTAAATTTTCCTTGGATCGAAAAGTACTTTTGTTTATCTTTATTATTAAAATAAATAAAACATTTGTAAGTTAAAGAAAAATCATCATCGTAGGATTGAAGATTTTTTAAAAATACGATCTAAAATAAAGCAATGAAAAAATTTTGACTTTTTTTGGCTCGCGACATGAACATATTTCTCAAATTTGGGTCGCGGCTTAAAAAAGGCTAAGAACCACTGGCTTAGGGTATAGAGCGTTCGCCTTCCAATGATGTGAACCAGGTCCGAATCCCAGCTATAGCTGGTTGATACGAATTCCGCATCAGGCTTGCACCGACCACAGTGCTGAAGTGAAATATTCTCAGTGATAAACGGATCATGGGTTAGAGTCCCCTTGCAGTCAGGTTAACCATGGGAGATTTTCGTGGTCTTCCTTTCCATGTAACGCAAGTGCGGGTTAGTTCCTTCAAAAAGTCCTCCATGAAGGCAAATTTCTTGATCCAAGAGTTCCCTTGTCTTCTGGATTGTGTTCAAAATTACAAGGCTACGGAGTTGAACATTAGTAGTCGTAAACCCATAAAATTGGGTCGGCTTTTCAACGACGGTCATAAAATAAAATAAAACAATATGCAAAGAAGCATACAAATAAAAATAATACTTTTCAAAAAAATTTAGTGAAAACTTATATTGATAAATTGATTGAACGCTGAGATTAATAAATTATAACTTTAAATTTTTTTTACTCCTACACACTTTATAAAGGGGAAGATATGTGGACAAAACAGACAATGAGTATTCCTTAACTTTTAGCCTCAACAAATAATTGCTGCAAAACATTAAGATGATTAGTTTTCTAACAAAATTCGCCGACAGTACGCAGAGAAGTTTGAGAATAAAAATAATACTTTTAAAGAAAATGTAGAGAAAACTTGAAAATAGATACATTACAACTTTAAAATTTTTCTAGTCCTACACACTTAAAAAAAGGGGACGAGATGTGGACAAAGCACACAAAGAGTATTCTTTAACTTTAAGCCTCAACAAATAATTTCTGCAAAACATTAGGATGACTAGTTTTCGCCGACAATACGCAGAGAAGCTTGAAAATAAAAATAATACTTTTGAAGAAAATTTAATCAAAACTTAAAAAATAAACAACATATTAATAATATATATTTTGACTCCTACACACTTAAAAAAAAGGAGAAAAGATGCAGCAAAGTCTGTTGACACTGGGACAAAAAATATTTCTTCTTTTTTTAATGTAGAAGTAAATAATAAAAAAACTAACATAAAAATCCCCCTCATAACACCCTCTCATCATTTTGTAAGAAAAATTATAAATTATACGTCGGGCGATCAGTTCTACCTCAACATTATTCCATATTGTAACACATCACAAAGGGTATTATAGGTAGTGAATAGAATTGCCAGGAGAGACAGGACTATGAAAAAAAAAAAAGAAAAAAGAAAGAAATACCTATAACAAGACTGTTGTGAGAGATTACTTCGCTGTATTGAACAGCTGAGACGAAAAGAAAAGCTGTATAGAAATGGCCGTGTTTTTTTTAAAAGAAAAAATGAAAGTTCTCATGCCTTCTTTTCTTTGGGAGAAAGAATTTGAGATACCCTCGAAAAACTCTCTAGTACGATTAAGAAAATCTAGAACGGAAATACTAGTTTGTGACAGTCTTTTTTTCTATCCGCCTTCTGCAAAACTACGAACCAACTTTATTATTTCAAATATATAATTTTCTTTTTAAACGTAAAATTCTAAAGTGTAGTTTATCCTTCATGTAAAGGGTTTAGAAAAATAAAAATAAAGCCGCATTTTTTTTCTTTTTTAAAATTGTTCAATTAGAGGATTTCTAAAAAAAATTAATGAAGCATAACTACTTGGAAATTACATTTAAATTTTTTCCAGAGTTGTATTTGTGTATCCTGAAATTTGAACATTTCTAGAAATTTCTAAATTACCCAACTAGAAATAATTCTAAAGAATAATATGATGTCAAAAAATTTCACCATTGAGGAAAATTCGTTTTATGAACTAGATTGCCCCAAATTGATTGTTATTATATATCGATATTTATCGTAAAAATTGATGATATTCACTGTATATTGAAGGAATACTTACGAATATTTCTCTAACCGGGTACTTAAAGCATAAACAAATGACATATTTCCAACTATTAATGAATGACAATTGAAAATTATAAATAAATAAAATTAATGTAAATAAAATACAAATAATCTGAGCGGCATTTTACAACAAGTTACAATCGATACTTCAAATTAAAGAAATGTGAATATTAAATTCATAGTCTCTTTTACTCTTTGTCAATTGCGATTTTTATCTCATCAAATTATATTTCGGAATTTTTTTTTATGAATTATGATTATGAATTGTATAAAAAAATAAAATTAATATAAATTGCAATAAATAGTAAAAAGGTCATTTTAAAGTGAATAGCACATGAGTTCAAAGTTAGCACTGTTGTTATTACCTGTTATTGTTTCTTTTAAATATTAATAATATATTAAATAAAATATTAAATCTCAAGTTTCAAATCTTTCAATTTATATAGCATTGATTATTTCTAAGTTTAAAAACTTCAATAAAATAAAGTGATGAAAATTACAATTCTCAAACTAAGTTATTATTACGTATAAATTAGCAATTAATATTAATTATTATATCACTGATATCAAAGCTTAGTATCTTATGAAACAAGAAATCAGATTGCATAGCTTTTACTGAATTAAGAAGAGCACATTTTTTTTTATGTAAGCAATATCAAGCAATTGCAAAAGCAAGCTAATTTTTATTACAAATTTAAAGTGTATTCTGTTTAAAATGCGTTTTTTTTTTTTTTTGACAGAACAAACAACATTTAGTGTTATAACTGATTAGTTGTTATCATTCATTTAAAACAATTATAATTAACGTACTCTTAAACTGTAAGATATAATAAGCAAAATACGGAACATTGATGAAAATTATCTAAGAGTATAACTAAAGAATACTGTGAAAAAAAGATTTTAAGGAACTTATTCCATTACTAATTGGTTTGTTATTTTTAATGAGTGTTCCGACAAAGTAATTCATTTATCATCATAAATTTTATTATTTGACGAAATTGTTTTTTAAACAATGAATTTTTTCTTTTAAAAAATCAAAGCGCCTTTAAAAAACGATTCTGAAAAAAAAAAATAATAATAAAGATAAATTGCAAGCAGAGAAGATTCAAGGTAGAGATCTGAGTTCCTCGGCACGAAAATTTTCCCTTGATTTTCCCTGTAGGCGGTCCAACGCTTCCCCCTTGAAACTTTTCTCTTTCGTCATTCGTTGAAAGTGAGAAGCTCACGCCTCTTCTTCTGACGTCAGAATTGGGGAAGAGAAGTTGTAGAAGAACCATAGAGGCATTTCAAATCATTCAGTACGTAGTTGTGACTTCGATTTCACAGAGTTCGGACGTTTATTTTTTCTTCAATCTTTATTTCTCTTTTGTTTACGTATTCTTTAGTTGTGTTAAAGTTACCTACTGGATATGATACGGCATTTTTAGTTTTCGAAGATCAGCGATAGTTTCTTTTACATTTAGTAATTGTTTTGGGATTATTTAAGAACATTTTATAGACTTGATTATTTTTTGAAATGATGCAAGCTCCGCAAATCGTACAAAATGGAGGAATGATTTCTCATATGAACAATATGATGGGGCTTCATATGAATGAGGCTAATAATCACAGTGCTCCAGTTCCATCCGTAAAAGAGAAGCAACAAGAAAGGATTCGTCGCCCGATGAACGCTTTCATGGTTTGGTCACGAGCTCAGAGAAGAAAGATTGCTCTTGAGCACCCTAAAATGCACAATTCAGAAATCAGCAAAAGACTTGGTGTTGAATGGAAACAACTGGATGAAAACGAAAAGCGCCCATTCATCGATGAAGCCAAACGTTTACGCCAAGAGCACATGCGATTGCATCCCGATTACAAGTACCGTCCCCGACGAAAACCTAAACCGGCAGCTAAGCCAGCAGAACCGGTCATGCCTTATGGAGTGCCTTACTATCCAGCCTTTAACCAGAGAACTTTCATGGCTCCTCAAGTGGGAGTTTACGATGCTGAAAATCGTGCAGCTCTAGTTAATGCATCTTATCCCATGCATTTTCCTTCCTATGCTGCAAGCGGCTATCCTGCCTCTTCTGAATCTTCTCCAGGAGCGGTGGATTTTCAGCACAATCAAGTGTCTGGATCAGCAGCTCTTTACCATCGGATGTATTCTCAACCAGTTAACCAGGGTATGTTCAATTCTGATTTGTACAATCGCAACGAAAAATCCAATGGATCCTCTAGTCCTAGTGATCAACACCACCAGAACAGCTCTCCTATACCCGCAGAACCCATCCACACACCTCCAACTGTTTCTTCTGGACTTAACCTGCCTTATGCAACCAAATCAGAAATGCCTGCAATTTCAAGCTCTTACAACATGCCTTTGGGCTATAGTTCTCAAACTTACAATAGTGCAATGCTGACACCTCCTTCTTCAAATTCCCCAAATCAGCACAATATTATTTCTCCAGGTCCCAGCATTAAAACAGAAATGGATAATCAAAACAGTAGTCCTAGTGCTCCAGCTCAGCAAAATCCAACATCAGTGTTCCCCGTGCCGCCATCAATGTCCTATTTTACTTCACCAGAGTTTTGGCCTAGTACTACAACACCTAGTGTAGTGAACCCATACCCCTTTTACATGTCACAAGGACGTGGCATGCCATTACAGATGTAAAATTGCATCGAAACAGGACTAAAGGACACTGGTAACTGGAAGTTTTCTATTACAATTGTGAAATAGAACTTTTAAATTTTTAATTACTGTTTTTCATCTATAATCTTGATTTTTCTGAATGATTTTCAAACAAATTTTGAATTTAACTTTTAAGATATCGATTAAAATTTTTACAATGTGAATTGAAAAGGTTTTTCATGTAAGTGTTTTTATTGTTTACTATTTCTGATTAACTTAATGCTTGTCACAAGGTAATTTTTATTCGTTCTAAAGAAAATTTCAGTGTTTTTTTTTTTCGTATTTTGTTATCCCAAGTTGAGAACTTTAAATTTCAAATTCCTAATTTGAGAAACTCTTGGGTTGTGACATTTGATTTGATATGACAATATTTTTTTCAAAAAATTATGATCAAATATGCCAGTAGGGACACTGATTTTAGTAAATTAAGGCTTCACTACATAGTTGAAAAGTGCTTTGTATTATTTCTTTTAAAGTTTGCCTATTACATGTTATTTTCATTTGTTTTTTGACAAAAATGTAAATCATTTGAGACAGCAACATTTTTTTAAGACTGATATTTTTTAATTGGAATTTTCTATCTTAGCATTTTCATACATCAATTACATTTTTATGAGCTTCAAATTTGTGGTTGCTATGATGTGATGTAAATATGAAAAAAAGTAAGGAATTCATTGTATATACCGCATCAGATGCCTTACTTTTTCTTGTATATTGTTTTGTTGATATTTAATTAATCAAGAAAAGTGCCCTTACTAATGTAAAAAAATTGTATATTTCATTGAATCATCGAATAAAATGTAGAACTGTATATTACGTTTTTATTTTTCACATTTTTAATACTATATACTGCTTGGTTGAGGTTTTAATAAGATGATTTATAAGTTATATATAAGATAAATTTGAAGTCCTTTTCAGAATTATTCGATATTATATAAATAGCATTGATAAAATAATTAGTCTTTATAATTATTTATAAAATTGTACAATTTAGTGCTTAGTAGCCATTATTCTAAAGTTACATTTTAAACAATTTGTTTATTAGACATTGATTTTCTGCAATTTAAAATGTTTTCCAGTTTACCTATATTTTTGTGTCTCTAAAAGTCACTAATTACAGATTAATTTTAAAATGTTATAATTTTTAATGAGTGATAAGACTTACTATATTTTTGCATCACTATAAGGATAACTAAATTTTTCTTTTGTACCAGTTTTAGCTAAATTCTACACAATCAGCTAACTTTATCTGTAGTTATTCATGTTTATACATTTTTCTCTTCTTTAACACTTCCAAACACATTAGCGATAGAATTAAATAGTTAGAGCTTTTTTTTATGAATCATTTTATGCAAATCTGCACTACTGTATGACGAAATTTATAGGTCTTCTACAGCATTATCGAAAATCATAATGGTAAATCAGGTAAGTGTGTAAGGTTTGGTTTTATCACTTGTATTTTTGCAACAAATAACATTTTTGTCATTTCTCTTTACCCACAAATTTTTTTTTCCCCCTTGGCTAATTTTTTTTTTTACTTGAAGAAATGTTATTTATTTTTAATTTCTCAATAATTTCATGCAAAGCAAATTTTATATGAATTACTTCATTATTCCATAATATTTTTGCATGGATGTCACTCTTCAGTCCTGAGGTCTGAAATCAGTATTGAGAAAGGATCCAGATGATTGAATTCAGTCCTCCATTCAATATATATATTTCAATCTTGATTTTTAGGTAAAGCTTTCAATAAAAAAAAAAAGAATTTCCAGATGAAAATCTTAAAAAAATCCAGTTAAATAAGTATTATAAAATAATAACCTTTTCAAACAAAAAAAACAAACATTTTTATTTTTATATTGGGTTTTATTGACTCAACAAAACAAAACAAACAAAATTTGTATTGGTAGATCTGAATCTACTTGAGTTCAAATTGTTTATTTCTCTTGATATTTTGAGATACTGGGCAAAATCAAACTAAAGTTCAATTCAGTTAAAATAAAAAAATTTTTAGAGTGGCACCCATGGTTTTTGCAGTAGTGGTCGAAGGAAAGGTGTAGAGGATTGTTAACATCTTAAAAAATATTTGCAGATGATAAATTTAGCAAAATAATGAGATTTTGTGAAATTTTAATATAATATTTGAATAACATCAATTATGAAAACTAAAATTATACTTTAAAATTAAATAACTTATAATAAACTTAACTTAAAAGATTAAAAAAATTTTACTTGCATATTAAAGCAGCTTTTTTTTCCTTAAATTATTATGGTGATATTTTGCTAGATTTTAATATAATATTTGGAAAACATAAATTGTGAAGACTGCAGCGATTTGAAATTTTTATACATTGCTCAAATTAAATCACTTTAAATTTGTTTGAATTAGACTAGCATTTTTCAAAATTGAAAATTTTGCTACTCAAGTGGTTTTGAAACAAACATTCCCGATACTCTGATTTTTTTTTTTCGTACTGATTTTGAAAACAGAATTAAATAATTATAAAAAAATGTGTTACAAAATAAATGGTTTATTAGACGAATTTTTCTACAGTAGACAAAGGAAGGAGAATAATTTTATTTTGAAAGAAAATTTTTTTTAAAAGAAGTTCATTGCCAAGAAAAAAAAAAAAAATGAATTGCAATTTTACATTAAATTTTTATTTTCTTTAGGTTTTGCAAATTCGGACCAACATTCTAATGAAGGTGAAAGCTTTCAACTGTTTCATGCTCGTACACAAGTTATTTATAGACATGAAATTGAACTAATTAAAATACTTAGAACATGCACTAAAAAATTGGTTCAACATAGAACGTAATATCTGCACTTAAAACCTTAATCCACTGCGAATTTACAGAATTCAATAAAATGTCAAACAAAAAATTTCAACTTAAGAATATCTGTTCGTGCAATCCAGGGACTAATATAGGCCTTATATCTATGGTACAAGCTTAATATTTGTGCGTAGAACAATACAAATTGATGCATGGGCACCTAAAAGAAAGGGGGAAAAACATTGCACCCTCTTGCAAGTTCAATAAATCGGAATTTATAATTCACTTCTTTAAATGTAACTATTTACTATATTTTTTAAAATTTAAATAACAAATATGAAAGTACGTATCTATCTCCCATACTAAAACTACTTCGATTTGCCCATTGAGAGCAAAAGTTGCATTCATTTTCAGCAGATTACTATAATAGTACGTATAATTAACTAATGATTTTTTTTGGTAATTTAAATAATTGAAAAAAATTATAGAATTTTTTTTCTCGTGCTCTCATACCATAATTGCGTTTAAAAAATTAAAGCATAATTTTTTCTTCTTTTTTTTTAGTTACAATGTTAGAAATTTAAATTTTCGGTCTAACTTTCTTGACAAGGATTAAACTGAATGAATTACTTATTGAAATTGCTTGTACAGTTACCCATGTAGAACTAATAATAAAACAAAACATGTAAGTTACATTCGAGTAAAAAAATATAAACGGATAATAAATTTAAAAAAAAAAAAGAGAAGTTAATTATAACAAAATGGACGATTACTTGGATTCATGGTGTTTTTTCTCGAACTGATTACCGAATGCTAAAGTTTTTTTTTATTTATTCCAATCTGTAATCTGTTTCTGTAATTTGAAGCTTCCAAGTGTCATAGCTTTTGCAGAACAAAAGAAATACATATAACATGTAGAACAATTAAAACGTTTTGATAAATAAAGTTTTTTTTCACAACTCTCTTCATATTTACATAATATTGAAAAGTATCTTAGTCTGTTAGTGAATTCAAACTCAAAAGTTAGTGTATCGTTCCGCAATTCTTTTTCCCCTCTTCTTTTTCTCTGCAATTTTTCCTTAAATATTTTGAAGGTGTCTTATGAACACTCGATATTTTTAATATTCCACACAAAGTTTAATTGAAAAGAAGAAAAAAAAATTAAGTGAGAAAGAAGTTAAGGAACTATCGCAAATTAAATCTTCCCTAAGAGTTTATTATTTATAAATTATTTTATTATGTTTAAGCTGGTTTAGATAAATAAGCAAAATTTTCAAACAAATAATGAATGCGAAGTTTCAAGGAAAATGTCAGAATAAACTATTTTGCCACTTTTTGGGGTGTTCAACTTAACGCTAATTTTTTTTTTTTTGTTATGCGTAAACTATAAGCACTATTGAAACTACAGAGTTGTGAAGAAAAATGTACACGGAGTACAATGGAAGAAAATAACATTCGATAATTAGTTAGAATATTATTAACCCTTAAACCTGTTAAAAAAAAAAGAATACCATGTTTGGTATTCTTTTTTTAACAATGCAATCTGCTGAAATGTAACTACAGACTAAAAATTTGACGAGCTGAAAGTACCAATTTTATTTGTGAAGGCAGCACAAATTTTGTTTCGAAATTCTAATTTGTTCGAAAGTTATTGCAAATTTAAAATACTTTTTCCGGGTTATTTTTTCAGCTTTTCTTGTTTTAAATATTGACTGTTTATACACTGTTGTAGAAAATTTATTTTCCCCTCACGATATATTCCATTCTTCATGATATAAACTCGCGATCGAGTCTTCTTCTTATTACTATATGGCACTACAGCCTATTACGTGCCAAGGCCATCTCAGTCAGTTTACCTTATCTAGATCTATTCGATGTAGATATGTTAGTCAAAAATATATAATCTCCATCTAGATATATTAGATTATATCCTTCTAGATGTAAGTCACTCAAAAATAGCAGGGGAAAAAAAAAGAGAGCGAGATATTATGTGTCGGTATAAATTCTAGCATTTATTGTAATTTTTAGAAAATAAAAAGCTTAATGAAGAGCGATAAGAAACGTTTCCTATTTGAATTGCTATAAATTTCATCAATGAGTAAAATTACTTCTCATTTATTTCTTCTTAGTGAGTCACACATTCTGCGTTCTTTAGGTTAAACTTCTTTTTTTCTTCTAAGTTCAGATAATTATTTTTTAAATTCAGGCAATCGTACATTTTGATAAGATTTACACGATAACAAAATGTTCTTACATAAAGCTAATATAGTTGTATATTTTGGAAACAAAATGTTCTGCGTTTTTGTTGAAATATTTACGTTTAAAGGGGGAAAAAGCAACGATGAATCGGAAGCAACTGCGGAAGTTAACGAGCGGAGCTTCTTATTCTCAATAAATAAATAGATAAAATAAAATACAAATAAATAAATAATATTTCAATTTTCCCCCGGCAATCAAACAGGTTTCGAAGTTTTCCTTCCCGCCTACCCCAGTATCGATTGATAAGATTTTCGATTGTGGTTTTGTTCTTTCCTCTCTTTAATACCAATATTCGACCTATAATGTATATACTATTTTTTTCATTCTATTTTTGAAGAAGACTATATGTTTTACGGGATATCCTGTAAATATTATAAGACTACAAAAATATGGTTAGTAGTAAAATATACAATCTCATTAAAACCTTTCATGTTTAAAAAGCATTTTATAAAGTGTTTGATGCCCAAATGATTGCCAGCCATGCCCACAATAGGAGGCATACCCAGTACTGGTAAATCTTACTCGCTAAGATCGGGTAGTGATTACTAAGCATACCGGAGAACTTTTTATTCAGAATGCAACTCAGTATACTTGTTTAAAAAAATGAACACAGCTCAAAAAGCACGTTTAAGAAAATGGACACTGCAAAACACAAACGGAGCGTTTCGGAAAATGGATGCTACTCAAAATGGATATTTAAGTAAATGGACACAGCTCAAAATGCGCGTTTAAGAAAATTCGCCAAAAAATGCTCTTTTTCAATTTTTAATCCAAATT